CAGCGGTTCCAGAGAGAGGGAAAGCAGGGGCCGTAGGAGCTGATAGGCAGGAGCCCTTGGTGTCTGCAATGTTACCTGACCATGCACAAGGTCACTGTGCCCATACCCAAGGCTCAGGAGCTCACAGAACCCCTCCTGTGCCACAGAGAGACACAGCTGGGCTGTCCACTAGAGGAGACAAGGCTTGGGGAGTGAGACTCCCAGGGCAGAGACTCACAGATGGCCACTCTCGCAAAGGGGTGCACCGCCCATAGCACAACCTGGGCCGAGGGCAAGTGGGGGCAGAGAACAGGGCTGGGAACTGCCCAAGTGCAAGGAGATCGGAGGGGCCTCACCCAGGGCAGGAGGAGGCTAGGGACACTGAGGGGCTCCCAGCATCCGAGGTGAAGTGCACCAAGCACAAGCACACAGGTGCATGATGGGGGGGGGGTGCACACACACACCCCCCAGCAGGCCCACGCCTGGGATGGTGATACCACCCACGGGTGTTATAGAACAGGAGCGCCCAGCATGCTAAGGAGCTTGGCTCTGGGGGAACGTTCCACAATCTTTAAGCCTCGCTCACAAGAGTGCTGGATGACCTGGGCAAATGCTCTCTGCACCTTAGCCCATCTCCCGCTGCTGTAATGAAATACCCGAGCCTGGGTGATTTATCAAGAGCAGGAGCTGACCTAACACGTATTTCCAGAGGCCCGGAAGCCCAAGAGAGTGGCCCGGACCTGCTGTGCAGTGTCATAGCTGGACAGAGTGCGGCTCACAGTGAGAGAGATCACCCATGCAGCTCTCCCTGCGGCTCTCACTGCGGCTGTTGACCTGAGTGTCTGAGCACTGGGGGAATGCAGATGCCCAGGTCTCGGCGGGGAGGGTAGGTAGCAGAAGGGCGATCCTCCTCCGGTGCCACCATGCTCCCTTTGGTAGAGGGCCGTGTTCAGAGTCCTGGTCCAGCCCGGGGCCCACTGAGTCGCATTGGTCTGGCCTACCAGTCCCTGCCCCCCCCCGTGATGCCCCTCCTTGTCTGCTCACGCCCTCACTGCTCCCATCGGCCCCGCGTGTTTGACTCCAACTCCAAAGTCACCTTTGCCTCCCTCCGCTAGCCCCTCCCACCCGGCGCAATGTGGAGAACTGGGGTTGGTTGGAAGTCGACCTCTGGGACGAGACAGCGCGAGCTGCCGGCTCAGCCCCCTCCTCCTCCTCCGAGGCCATCGTGGGCGCCTCCCTCGTGACCAATCCTAGTCACCTGTGGATGTCAGCCTCGGTCCTCTAGGGAGGACCCTCC